AGTGTCTTGCCTCGGCCCTCACAGCGCTGGCTTCATTTGAAAGGTCGTCTGGAAGGATATCCGGAAGGTCATTTGGCTCTCCGGTCTAATTAGCATATCACGTTTTCATTATTATAGATTGCTGCTACACCTGTTACCTTGAGCATCTATAGCCGGGGTGGGAATGTCCAGCCCCTGAAATCATTTGGTCTAGTCCTGCCAAGGCATTAGGGGTGAATTAATTAAATGTTTGACCGAAGCAGACTAATTTTGAAGTGATAATTTTCTATGGCCTGAGAATCTATATAATAAAAGAGAAACATGTAAATTGACTGTCCCTCCGCTACGCTCACCAGCCAATCAGGAGTGAGTATGCAAATTAACCCAACAAAAGTGGTGGATTAATTTGCATACACAGGTGCCGGGTGGAGAGCAGAGTGGGAGAGCCGGCGGAGAATGGAGCAGCTTGGGGAACTTGGCTCCCCAAGCCACCAGATGGAGAGCAGAGAGGGAGAGCTGGCGGCTTGGAGGACTTGGCAGAGTGGGAGGCCATGGGACAGAGACAGAGCAGGAAGGGAAAACCAAGAGCATGGGGAGCATCAGGAATTCTGAGAATAGTAGTTCTGGTGGCAGCCCCAGGTCTGGAAGTGGAAGCCCAGAGTGCGGGGAGCACCAGGAATGCTGGGAATCGTAGTTCTGGTGGCAGACGGATCTCCTAGACCAGGGGTGGACAAACTTTTTGACTCGAGGGCCACAATGGGTTCTTAAACTGGACCGGAGGGCTGGAACAAAAGCATGGATGGAGTGTTTGTGTGAACTAATATAAATTCAAAGTAAACATCATTACATAAAAGGGTACGGTGTTTTGTTTTTTTTTAGTTTTATTCATTTCAAACGGGCCGGATTCGGCCCGCGGGCCATAGTTTGCCCACGGCTGTTCCTAGACACTAGAGCAGCAGTTCTCAACCTGTGGGTCGTGACCCCTTTGTTGGTCGAACAACCCTTTCACAGGGGTTGCCTAAGTCCATCCTGCATATCAGATATTTACATTACGATTCATAACAGTAGCAACATTACAGTTATGAAGTAGCAACAAAAATAATTTTATGGTTGGGTCACAACATGAAGAACTGTATTTAAAGGGCCAGAATGTTGAGAACCACTGTACCTAGACACTAGAGCAAAGTGAACCTGGAACAAGTTACTGTTGCGGTGGGGGATAGAGGGAAAGCAAAGGTGAGAGACATAAGTAAAATCAGAGTGTCTAGGAAAAATTAAAGGGAAGATATCCTGAAACTTCCAGGAAATCTCCACCAATGAAGCAAAGAGAAAAAAAAAAGCCTCTATTATTCTGTGAGCAACAAACCAAACTGAGTCGGGGTCTCAGACAATTCGCTCACATGATTGTAAAGACAGACAGAAACTCCCGGATTGGAGAGGGCTCCCCTGAGGGCTCCCATATTGGAGAGGGTGCAGGTCGGGCTGAGGGACTCCCACACTCCCCAGTGCACGAATATTGTGCACTGGGCCTCTAGTAATATTAATAACTATCCAAATAGCCCTTGGCAGAAAAAAGGTTCCCCACCCCTCCTCTGTAGAAACAAAACAGTATTCTCTGTTGAAGTGCAGTGATAAAGGAGGGAATTGCCTCATGATAGAGAAAAGAATGACTTTATACAGATTCCTGTCAGTGATCATGAAAATTCCTTGAGTGGATTATATTCAAGATACTTTGTAAAAACACCCCTGGACTAAAATTTCACCTTCAAATCAAACCCAGCTAAGTACTTGTGTTCTGAGATCAGGCTGAAGGCAACCACATTCATGGTTACTGCTTCTCCAGCGTCTTCTGCAGACCTTTAGCCAGTTTTCCTTTCCCACTCATTGTTACTGGTTTTATGTTTCTCCAATTTCTCTCTAAATTGAATCCACTCCTTAGATGCCCTGGCTAATTTATTTAAAAAAATATTTTTCCTGGTTATGCACCAAGCTGAGAATAGACTTCCCAGTATTTGCCCTGGTCCCACAGATCCTACTGAGTTAATAAATACGCTGCTCCTCATCCCTTGTCTGACTTTTCTCCAATAGGCATCAGAAATTAAACAAAATTGCCAATGGTAAGTCTGACAACTAATGAGAGTTAGGAGAGGAATACTGCTGAGTTTATTAACTATTAGTAATTTCTAAGAGCCAGTGATAATTTCTAAGAGTCAGCAATATTTGTACATTTCTATGTATTCTAGATGAAAATTAGCCAAAATCATCCCATATAATCAAAGCCTAATATGCAAATTGTCCCCTTGACTGAGAATTTGACCAGGGGGCGGGGCCAGCAGGCCAACCGCCCACGGCCCCTCCCCCAAGCTGGCCCCGCTCCTGATCAGCCCCCTCCTCTCTGATTGGGGGCAGGGCTGCCCGCCCAACCGCCTGCAGCCCCTCCCCCGGCAGGCGTGGCCAATGGGTCTGATCAGGATAGGCTGGCCAGACCCCACCCATGCACGAATTCGTGCACCAGGCCTCTAGTGTGTGTATAATAGGATGATGTCTACTTTTCTTTGAATTCAAACTGGGACTAAATGAAATGTAACCATTTAAAATTACATGATCTTGATTTAGATCAGTCTTTTCTAGATAAAGGCATTTTCAAGAGCTCATTTATTTTCAGTCAATTCCTTTTTAAATGCATTTATAAATAATCTGAACACTAAAATTCAGACTTTACAGGGATTGTAGAAAATTTTAGGTGAAAGGTACCATACAGGTGTGTTCTCTTAAATATACTCCCATAGATGCAGAGGTTCAGGTGCCAGACCCACACAGGTTTCTGGGAGCCTGGATTGGATCATTCTGTCTTCAAAGCATGGAATACAGAGTGGAAAGACATTGTTCAGAGATGACGCTGAAAATTAAGTAGTCAAACTGAAAGAAAAAAATAAAATGAGCAGACAAATACAAACTAGGTAGAAGGGAACTGAAGATAATAAGTTATTAATTTTAAAAATAAATAAGTAAGCATTACTATAGACTCAATACTTAAAGTCTCTTTATAGAATTCATGTTGAAGAAGCCATCCACACTATATGTGAAAACTTACAGTGGCAACTACTTACTATTTTCCAAGAATGTTGATTTTGTTTTGAATGCTCTGAGTATTGGATAGTTTTTCCTTTTATTGGATACTTATAACTTCTATCTATTGGTTCTTGTATTTTTAAAAAATATCTTTATTGTTTAAAGTATTACATAGGTCCTCCTTTTTACCCCATAAGACTCTTCCAGCTCACTCTCATCCCCTCCTCCCCCAGGCTCTCACATAAATTGGAGTATTTCTAGAAATTCATCTGGACCCAGTTGAATTCAGATAGCAGGATTATCTAGACTTTTTTAAAAAAATATTTTATTGATTTTTTATAGAGAAGAAGGGAGAGGGACAGAGAGCTAGAAACATCGATGAGAGAGATCGATCAGCTGCCTCCTGCATGCCCCCCACCGGGGATGTGCCCGCAACCCAGGAACATGCCCTTGACCGGAATCGAACCTGGGACCCCTCAGTCCACAGGCCGATGCTCTATCCACTGAGCCAAACCGGTTCGGCTTATCTAGACATTTTAATGTAGGATCTTAATAGTTAAGAAAAATAGGAATGTTGTTTAACTAAAATTGAAGACAGACTGATATTCACATAATTGTTCTCAACCTTGAAATGTTTTGTAGAATTTTATACATTCTCTAATTAAATAAAATTCTTCTTAAGAGACAAAAGGTCTCTTAATAGGATTATTATTGTCATTGTTGTTAGCAAAGAAATGGCACCAGACCTTGGTTCAACAACCTTGGTCCTTGAGTTTTGGCTAAGAAAGAATTCAGAGCCAAGACTCAAATACCAGCAAAAGTTTATTTAGAAAGTCACAGAGGTAGAAGAAGTGAGCCATGGAAGAAATGAGCCAACTGGGCTGTGTGGGCTCATGAAAAAAGTTACAGAGGAAAAAGAAGGGCCCTTGGAGCTTAGAAGGAAGAGAGTAAAGGTACTTTCTGGGAAGAAGGGGGAAAGGCACAGGTGTTCTCCAGAGAGAGCAAGATCTAGCACTGGTCCTCCTCTGAGGGTTTTTATCCTTTCTCTAAAGGTGGGGATCTGAGGGGAGGTCCCAGAGAGCATCTCAATGAAATATCAGTTTTTCAGGTGTATTTTCTCAGGGTCCTGGTCTCTACTGATTGGTTGGCACTAGGGTAAGGGGTCATTAGTCTTTGCATGTGGCCCTGATGTCAGCCATGGTGTCACTTTCTCTGGTTTTGCTGCTTTTTTGGAACTGGAGCTAAAACACAACTGAGGCCTATATGTTCTCTCTAGTTTGTCTAAAACTCTGTCTCTGTGGTCCACAGACCAGAGGCTTTGTTCTTAAAATTACTTGATGCAGATCAGAACCTCATTGTTCTGAGGATTTAGTGCTTAAGGGAGTAATCATGCAAGGGCTTTTATGGGAATCGTATGAGGCTATTCTTTGGGCTCCTTGTTCCTCTTCTAATGGATCTATCACATGATTAGCCACATGCTAGGGGAGGAAAGGTCAGGGAAGGGTCTGAATCACATGACCAGTGAGATGAAAGGTCAGGGGTCTGAACTGCATGATGAGCAGTATGCCAGGGGAGGAAGTCACCAGGGGGAGAGGTCTTATCTTTCCAATTTTGCTAGTTGCCAGATACCTAGGAATTTCTGCCCTGGTGACCTTGTGTACCTGGCCTATTGTTCCTTCTCTGCTTATGCCTATCTACTGTCTCTTACACTGTCAACATATTTAACGAGCACATTTTGAGACAGGCACATAGCCAGATCTATTGAAGGGCAAGGCCCTTGTTTTCAGTGACCTTCAAAAGTATAGTCAGTACTATGGCAGGAAAGAGTGGAAGGTTGTTTTATATGTAATGTTTATAAACATTTTGGAGCAGGACTATAAAATGTAAGGGAAACATTATGCTTCCTGAGAAAAATAAAAATGCCCTTCTCAAGCTCAAAGAACTCAGTATAAATTTGTTACTATTTTATTAAAGCCAAAGACAATAAAAAGGAAACACCATTAAACAATGAGAAGGAAAGAATTAAAAGGATTCCCACATTTTATAAGTTTATCCAGATACAAGTAACAGTTACGAATGACCAAATAGCATTCTTTCCTTGAAAATATGGGGCTTGAGGGAAATTGTCAAAAGGATGAACAAAAACCAGCAAGGCCAGCACGGGTGTGTCTATCTGAGATAGAAGAGGGGTTCACTTTGTATTAGATTACAATTCTGATAATGGTCTTCACAGGCAAATACCAGGGATTTCTGTGGGGACATGCCCTGGGGACTTGAACAGCATCTGAATCAGAGAGAGGTCTGGCTTTCTGGCCCTACTCTAGTGTCTAAGCCTTTTATAAATGGCTCTGGTACAACAAGCTGTGGTAATCATCCTTTTCCATGAGGAGTGGCTGCTGTTCTTCAGAGAGCTGCTTTCTCTTTCGACGATGATGACGACACAACAGGCCAATGAGCCCTCCCAGCACAGCCGTGAGGACAGACCCCACTACAGCCGCCCCAGTGAGCCATGGCCAGATCTGCCTTGCTTGTTCTAAGTAGGGCTTAATGTAGTCTTGAAAAAAGTCTGGATCTGAAATAGAAAGGCATTCAATGTTTTAAAATTATTGTGGTCATCACCACCATCACCATCACCACCACCATCACCATCATCCTTGCATAATACTTTGGAGTCAGATGTTTGAGTTTGAAAGTCAGCCCTGATACTTATCAGCTGTAAGAGCTTAGGGAGGTTATACCTAATATTCCTATACCTTAATGCAGCGGTTCTCAACCTGTGGGTCGCGACCCCTTTGGCGGTCGAACGACCCTTTCACAGGGGTCGCCTAAGACCATCCTGTATATCAGACATTTACATTATGATTCATAACAGTAGCAACATTACAGTTATGAAGTAGCAACGAAAATAATTTTATGGTTGGGTCACAACATGAGGAACTGTATTGAAAGGGCCAGAAGGTTGAGAACCACTGCCTTAGTGTCTTCATCAGGAAAATAGGAAAATAATAATATCACCTTGTTGGAATGTTTTAGAGTATATAGATAATATATAATCTATAAATTACACAGTGCCTGGCCCCAAGACAGTTTACTAAAACTCGTTGAGCTATTTATTCTAGTATTTTGTCTCCCAATTTCTAAATAACAGGCAAATATTGCTATCTCTTAATTATCAAGTTTATCTCTGGAATTCCTCAAATGTAAATAATGAGTTGGTTCTCTTACAACTTTTTTAAAAATTTTAAATTCTTTATTGTGAAGACATATCTACATATGCCTTCTTTTTCCCCAATTAACACTCAACAAAACAATAAAAACACAACAAAAGTAAAAACCCCATTAGTTAAGGCTATACGACACGAAACAAGCCTTTGGTCGTTTCTTTTTTTTTTAAAAAAAATATTTTATGGATTCCCCAAGAGAAGAAAGGAAAAAGACCAAGGTTAGAACATGATGAAGAAGAAACCACCACCCACCCCTTCCGCACATCTCCCACTGGAGATGTGCCTGCAACCCAGGTACATGCCCTTGACCGGAATCGAACCCGGGACCCTTCAGTCCGCAGGCCGACGCTCTATCCACTGAGCCAAACCGGCTTCGGCCTTTGATCGATCTCTTAGACCCCCTTCCCACCCTCCCCTGCCTTCCCTCTGGTGTTTGTCGGTCTGTTCGATGCTTCTCTTACAACTTCTTTTTTTGATCTTTTCAATATAACAAAATCATGATTTTTATTATTTTTAGTATTTAGATATTATTCATAAGTTGAACCAAGTATTATGCTATGATTACATTTCCTTTCTTACATTATTATTCCTGGAAGGCAATAATTTATGGTATCCTTTTGTTTGATTTTAAAGTACCCATCACTGTTTATCAGATAATCTAACATATTCTACATCCATTTTGTAATACAAAGGAAAGAAGAGTGCACATTGGGCTTCACCCTGCAGCAGATTATGGCTCCGTGACTCAAGTGTTGAGCAAAAGTAATATATGCAACTTTGGGGTAGTTTCCTTAAAAAGAAATGGCATGCCTCTTTATTGTTGCTTATTTAGCTGGATTGTGGTTTGTGTCTTGGAGAGCCATCATGGATCACGTGGTCCAAGTTAAACCCTAGGTCTTGTGGAACTATAAGAAGGGAGTGGCTCTGGTTCCTGAAATTATGAAGTGGAAACTGGACAACATACCAAGACTGTTATTTGAGCAATACATTAACTTACTTAAGCCTTGGATATTTGAAACTAGATCTGCTCCCTATTCTCACCTGTCCACCCTTGCTGATGGAGGAACTATAACCTTCCTTTATGACCCATTTCCTCCACAATAGGCAGTTCATATGCGGTGGACCATTGACTTAAGATGGGCCAATCATAATCATTACTCAGGATTCACTGTGCTGTGATTGAGAGTCCATGGCTCAGGAGCTGATAACAGATTCAACATGTGGAAGACAGGAAGAAGTCAGCACACTCCCAAAAGCAGAGACCAGAGACAGAGAGTAACAAGAGTCAGAGAATGAGAGAGGCCGTCTTTAGGGTGCTTAGTTCCCTGCCTCTCCCTGTCCCTCAGTGTCAGCCCAATTTCTGCCTTTCCTTGAATTTTATAAACCAGTAAATTCCCTTTTCATCTAAGTTCATTCCTATGGAGATTCTGCCTTTTGACTTTCAAAAAGTTCTAATTATTTTTTAAAAGTTAATTACATGCCTGCTACAATAAAGACAGAGAAGCATCTTCACATATTCTGGAGTTACAATTATATGTAAGACTTACATAAAGTCGAAATGAGATCCACAAACCAAGGAGAAAAGGAATTTTTGTTTAATAGACTAAACAAAAATTAGGGTAGCAACACAAAGTAAAATTTAAAATGAGAGTCTCACCTTTAACCATAAACTTAGTAAGGCTCAGAAAAATTAAAACAGGGATGTTGTTTTGTAATCAGGGGAATTTAGTAATCAGGGAAATTTGTATATTAAAGCAGTATTCATTCACAGGAGATAAAAGTGCAGCTCCTGTGGTGTAAGTGGGGCTATAGGGCTAAAACCCTGTCCACTGCTGCTAGCCGTCTTCTTCCCGGGCACTGTCCTTTTGCCCGCTGTCACTAAGATCCCTCTAAAACACCTTAGAACTCATTAAGCATAATTTGAACAATATTGAAATTTAGTGTTTCTTTTCATCAGGAAGGGACAATCACTTGCAAATGGCACACATGAGGTAAATTATTAAAAAAGATTTATAAGTTGGAATTATAGCAATTTATATCTAAACAATGAAAGCAAACAAAGGTAAAAGAAAAAAAAGAAATTTTAAAATGTGAAAACTTTTTTCATCAGTTTTTAATATATTTTAAAATTATTTTGAAAATGGGACTGCAAAGGCCTAGCATATGTTGCTATTAATCACTTTAATATATAGTGCACTTAAGATATCTGACAAAATGCAGAGTAAATAGAGGTTACATGATAAATATGATTTCCTTTAATTTTAAAAGAATTTAACTAGAAATAAATGATAAATACTGTTGAGCCCTTCCTGTGACTTGAGTCTCCTCTTCCTTTACTCCTCCAATGGGTTTGGTTGCCTTTCAGTAAAAAGTACCCATTTGGACATGAGGGAAGGAGCAATGAGGTGAAACATGTGTGTGAAAGACATGTGTGGGTTAAGGAGGACCCTTTCTTCCATGGAGTAATAGAGAGATAATTGGTTTGGAATATAATATTTGCCACTTACTAGCTTTGTGACTTAAAATCAGTCACTTTATCCTTCTGGTCTCAATTTACTCACCTACCAAACAGAATAGAAATGACATAGCAACTTATTTCCCCTGCTGTCTCATATCACTCCCTTTCACTCCGTAACAAAAGCAACACAGAGGTTCCTTCTGTGTCTGGCCCGGCTCTTGTTGTTACTACCTCAGTGAATTACATCACCATTCGTTATTTTCACAGCCCAGAAAGCTTAAAGGCAACCCTAGTATCTCTTTCTTTCTCACCTCATATAAAAATCCTTTTTTCAAATTATGTAAGTTTTCTTTGCAAAATAATATCAAATTCTTTAGTGCTTTCTGCCTCCTTTCCTACCACCACCACTGCAAGCCAAACTGCCTTCATCTCTCCCGCAGACACTTACAATAGTGTTTTCACTGGCCTCCCTAAATATGCTTTCAACTGCTACAAACTTCCTATATGCTGCAGGAACAGTGATCTTTTATAAACTCTAATTTGACCATGATCTGTTTACAGTTTATTAAGGCTTCCAGTATTCTAACATTATGGCCAAAATCCATAATCAAGAGGAGCCCTTTATCAAATAATTAATTCTTCCTCTCATACTGATATCCTCTGAAACGTCGCTTTGTTGATCTCTAGAAACGGGACATCTCTAAATGAGTCATTAGGTAAGTAGTTGTTTAAGGCCTTTCTCTTCCATTAGGATGTAAGCTCTGTACAGATAGAGGCTGTGTTATTTGACACTGTATCCACAGTATCTTAGACTACATCTTGTTCAAGGTAGTTATTAAACATATGTATGCAGAAAGGATAAATAAATCAATAAAACCACTTAGAAAAAAACCTAGTGTAATAGAAGACTTGACACATGTAAAAATACATATCAAAAAATGACCTGGGTGTTAAGAGGGATGACATTTTTCTAACAAGCTTTACTTGTATTGGTTAAGAGATACCACCCTTTGTGATAAATATCACTTAAACTCAAACTAATTCACTGATTTCACTCCATACCAGATACCAGTTGGTACTTAGGAAAAGCTTTCAAGATATCAATCCTGATCTTGTAGGGCTCCCAGCCAAGGTGGAGAAGGGAAAGATTTATCCTCAGGAAAATAGCCATGTAACTCTAGTAAAGGAATGAATAAACATGGCTACATATATGTATAAATGATTTGATATCCGAGAGTTTGACAGATGAATAAATAGCATCAGAATTTAGCCAGAGAGAAGAGCATATTCAAAAACATGAGTCAATGAAAGAGTCTGGCATGTTCTAAAATGGAAATCATAAAACCCTAAGTGATGAATCTAAAATGGAAATCATAAAACCCTAAGTGATGAATCTTTGGAAAGCCATTATCAATATGCTGCCCTCATTATGTACTATGGGTATTTACACAAGAAAGGGAAAGCGTTAAATGAGACTGCCCCTCTTTATGACCCACTCCCCTTACCACACCTCCACAGTTTGCAAAATCCCCTGTTCTCTTAAGGTTTTCAAAGATCTGATCTTCTCTGCCAGCCATTTCAGTGTGCCTTCCATTGGCTATGATATTCAGATAAATCAAAATAGGTCAGTTGAACTCACATCTGTTTAGTGGTTCCCCAAAGGAGAGGAAAAGGATAAAATGCACATTCTCTCATTGGCCCTAAATTGTGGTTCTGCTATGCAACATACTAGATGGACTAGGACAAGTTGTTTATATTCTTTAAGCCTCTGTTTTCTCACCTTGAAAAGGAAAAAGAAATAACAGTACCTACTTCGCAGGGTAGTTATGAATGTTAAAGGAAATAATGTACACAGCCTCCTAGAGGAGTTCTTGGAACATAAAAAAATACTATGTGTTAGCTACTGTGGAATAGCTAAATTTAGCTCCTCTGTGTAATTTCCCATAATTCATACTCAAATAAGGGAATTTTATATATATGATATCACTTTCCACCTTCATTTTTCCTGCTATCCTTTTAGTTTAGGGTATTCCCTGCCCCTTTTTATCTGCAACCTTCCTGCTATTCCTTCAAGGCCTGGTCTTGTCTTTCTAGATGGAACTACTCAGAAGTCATTGTTTTCTTCTCTGTAAAGGTTATGACTCTCGTACTACACTTAACACAGCCTACGTTTCATGCTTTCTTGCACAATTGTCTGACTTTCACTTTGAATTTAGAGCTCTTTGGGGTCTGGAACTAGGTCAGTCATTATGTCACTAAAGTCTAGCACAAGAGTTGATAAAAGTCACTCATTTGTTCATTTTATCTATCCATTTATGTTTTCACAAATTATCAATGAATATAATAAAATGTCAGTGCTTGTTGAATGCCTCTTACCCACAAACCACACGCTGTTTTGCAGCTTTTGGATGTTGACCTTCTTAGAGCGGAAGCATTGTGTAGTACAGTGTTGATATCACACTCCTCCACATATCGGTGTTTAATATTGGGAAAGTCACTTAAATTCTCCTCATATTAGTATTCTCACCTCTTTCTAGTGATAATGAGACTTACCTAATATAAGGTTGGTTAATAACGCATGTATGGAATCTGCATGTAGCAAGCTCTCGAGTGAGGGGAGACATTACTCTCTGTTCATTATCAAGAAGTTACTGATATAGATCTACTAAAAAAATGTATTTAAAACCCAGATCTAATTACAATTCTAGAGTTTTTTTTATCTCTATCTTAATCATAGCATAGCAGTTATCATAAGTTGTTGTTATTATTTGGGTTTGAATAATAAAATGTCCAGATTTTTTCTTGGTAACCCAGCAGGGAGTTCCCAAAGATGATTTCAAAACTGCTACATGCACTAGGCTCCTTAATCAAAATATCTATATGAGATATTTTGATCCCAGTATTTCAGGTTAAAAACTGAGATTCATGGACTTGAAGTCACACCACAGTCAGCAGATAGTCATATTTCAAGCCCATTTTCCCCACTGATTTTAATTCTAGTCTCTTTCCATGGCCTTCATGTATGAAATGTATATTAAGCAGAATGAATATGAGTTGGAAAACCCTTGCAACTTGGTTCATGTAGTAATAAATTGGTAATAAGTTTGGGGCTGTAATGCACTTTCCCAATTTAAAGGATTTGGTGATAACATTGTACAAACATAGGTTTTGTATTCTCTCAAAAGAAATCGGTCACACTTTATTCAGCAATTTATGTGAAAGAAATTGAACTTTACCAGGATCTTGTAGGTAGCTATAGTCATAGCCCAGGTCTCTGGATGGAATAAAGAAATCACCATTCCTGTAGAGGGGTATGAAAGGAACCATGTAGGAATCCCGGTTATGTCCAATGGGTGCGTTGGTTGCTGGATAAACTTCTTGAAGAGGACGGTACCTTCGGAGCCACTGTTCAAAAATACTGCAGAGGAAAGGATTATTCAGACTCAGAAACATATCATTTATAAAGAAAATATTTGGATTTCTTAAAGTAAAATAACAAGACATATCTTAAAATCCCAAGACATGGAAAGATGCCAAATATATTTTTCATTTTTTGCAAGTATTCAGTAAAGCACCAGTTCATGCTGTCAGGCCCTGATGAAACTCATTCGTTTGAAAGAAATATTAGAGAAAACTTTGAAACAGGAATTTTTTTAGAAGATAAATGAAACTTACATGATAGGTTTAGATCCTTCAGAATGCTGCAGAACAAGGGTAATTATTGGTTGAGTGACAACTGAGTCGTAGTTATAAATTAAATATGTTCCCGTGTCAAAGAAAGTTA